ACACTGGATTGGAGCTGCAGTGGAATGCCAGAATCGAGCCTCTCAAACTTTGAAACAGTTCAGATTCATGCACAAACTTTGTGGCACTGGTCTCTCTCTCTCTTTTTTTTTAAATGTCTATAAGCTTACAAAAATTAAAAGGGTTTTTGATTATTTATCTAACCTATACCTGTATGTGACCTGTTTCCAAAAAGAAAAAAATCGTACAAAATGCATTGTTCAATGTGAAAGTCTGGTCTTACAAAGTACTAGCTTTGCAAAACTATCAGCTCTTTCATCTGACCCTTTCTGCTTCACCTTATTTTGATTTTAGAAAGAGTTTGTCTACAGAGAACTGCCATGTAAGTTGACTGCAAAACTGGACATTTGCTTAAATATCTTAAAATGTACTCATGGTTCAGTGTCTTAAAATCAACTCTGAAACTCAGCTTGGCTCCTGCAGTTTTACTAGTGAGTTTTTTACAGAGTTCTGTAAAATATTGAGCATATGAATGTGTTGTGTAAATACAGTTTGAGTCAATAAAACCAGTACTTTTCTGAACAAAACTTGTCTTTTTTTGCTGGTTTCTTGGTATAGAATTCAGACCAATACAAAACTTTCGCTGTTAAATTAGTGTAACAAGGTTGTGCTCACAAATATAAGCAGCAGCCAAGCCCAAAGATGATAAATCAGATTGTCAAAGTTTCGCTTAACCTAAAGCTGTGGGGTTTTTCCTCTGCTTAGTTGAATTAGTTGTTGCTTAGTTGTCTTAGTAATCTGCTTCTTCTTGTCTGCTCCATGTTAGGGGTTCATTAGTTGGATAACTCAGCTGTTCAGAAATTGATGGCCCGTCTCCCCATCCCAGCAGAGGAGAGAGAAGCACAGTTGGGGGGTGGAGTGCTGGTTAAATGGAAAGTGAACCAAGCTTCTGCTGCACCACAGATCCTTTAATGCTTAGGAGTCAGAGGGCAGGTTAAGGGTGATTGATTCCATCTGTATGTTGCAACATATTGGAAAGAGTAGGGTGACAAAGGAAAAAGTTACCTGAAAGGTCAAACCTTTTGCTGAAGTTATTTGAAGTAAACTGTTTATGGAAATTACTCTTTTGGATTTTCTTCATGATGAAGCTTCTTCCATCTCTGATGTTGCCTGGCTTTAGAGTGAAGAGCAACAAGGGCAACAGAGCAAATTAGCAATTTAGTGCATATTTACTAGGCATATTTAGTTGTTAAATGCTTCTGTCTATCCTTGTTGTGTTTGTTGTAGAATGAATGATAAACAGGAGAGCAGCCTGAAAAAAAACTGAACTTCATTTCCTTAATTACTGGAGTAAAAGTTTAAAATTATTTATTGCAATAGTGAACTAGTATAAAAATTCAAGGTTGCACACATGGCAAAGCAGTGACTGACTTCTGTGTGTAGGCTCTGGTGTTTTATCTTTCATGTGTTCTGTACATCTATTCTGTACATCTGTTCTCCCCATGTAGCTGAACACTGCTTGTTTGGGATAGGCAGTTTGTGGCCAGCACTGAGGACTGGCTGTGCTCATATCCTAGAGGTCAGAATTCTGCATTTCTTCATTCCTTACTAAATAAAACCAACAGAAAACACAACCAATCACCCAAACCCAAAACCCCTAACCTGACTCTTCACTGTGTCACTACTAGACTGAAAGAATCATGTCCTCTCCAGGAACTGTTTCTCTTACCTACTTTGTGCTTTTAAATTCCATTCTTCTTTGGTTGCAGCATGCAATTAGTAAGTGTGTGATAATGGCCTTACCTCTCCTTTACCCTTGCCTCTATTTCAGAGCATTAACTTGCTTGTTTAGTCTTAGTAGGTGTTAATACTTAGTGCCAAAATTGACAGAAGTTGATGGTGTTGGCATTTTGCAATCAAAACGAAGACATGGAAAAAAAGAAAATTAAGCTGTTTACCCAACCTTTGAAGAGGACTCTTAGCCTCCTCCTACTCACAAATTTAAGATGCCACGTGGTTGAGCAAAAAATCAAGAAAATCAAGTTTAGTCTGTGCTGTGGCCGCCAATACTTGGTGGATTAAGTTTCGTTGCAAAACATTGAGCAGTGCTGCTTCAACTTGCAGGGGCTTGTGCAGCACAGAGGGAGCCGTTGAGTTCCCTGCTCCTCCCAACACTGGGAGCAGGTCTAGACCCTCTTTCTCAAGCTGAATCTGTTCTCAGGAGGTGACCACCTTTTCCTAAGGAGATGCAAATGCAAGAGAAGGAAGAGGAGAGAAGTGATCATGGAATGCAGAGAAATCTAGAGCCGAAGGTGGCTTGGTTAGGGTTGCATGCACACAGACTCTCATGTCTGTAAGCTGAGGGCCTGCCCCACTCCTTGCTGGCTTTGACCACAGTGCCTTTGCAAAGGAGCTGCCCCATCAGGTTGGATCCTAGTCTCTGCCCTGATACCACTCCTCATGTAACACCTCACCCCCTCCCTGGTTTTTCCCCTCATCCTAGCATTGGTAGAGGAGTTTGTGTCTGGGTGGTACTGGGACCTGCATTTCTAGGCCTCCTTAGCTCTGGCTTGTCCTGGCAGCCTGCTTCTAGATGTTTCTCTGTGGCCAGGTGCAAAGCAATAAAAAGCAGAGAAAATGAAAGTGAGCCAGGCACAGAAAGAAAAGGTGTCAGAGACTAGGTTGAAAAACCCAAGGGAAAATGCAAAACAAAGAGGTGAGGAATGTGAAAAGAGGAACAAAGATTGGTGGGACTCAGCTTGTAGGTTTCAAGGAAAAAGCAGGGAGTTATTTGAAAGGAAGTGCAACTGAAGGAATAGTTCACTAAACCGATTTTCAACTGTATGTCAGGAAAGGAAGATGATTAGAGCTGGTTATGAACAGGAAGCATTTGTGCTTCCTATGACTCTTCCTGCTTACATGCAAGCTGTTCCTCTGGTGATGTTCCTGCTACAGGTTCCTGGGGTCATTTTGGTGGGTTGGTTATTTTTGCCCTAAGGTCAGCTGGTAGATCTCTCTCCCCACCTCCATGCCTTCTAGAAATTCACATCAAACAGTTGCAAGTAAACACATGTGATAGAATGAGTCAAAGCATTCCACAGCCTCAGAGTCTGTGTTCTGGATTTCGAGTCAAGTCCATGAAAAGCAATAAAGAACAGGCTGGTTCACCAAGTGAATAACTCAATTCTTTAGGAACACTGTGATTCCTGGCATTTTTAAAGTATTAACATTTTTTTCACAGTAATACCAGAATTTATGGCATAGATAAGAATTCTGTATTATAACAAAATGCAGGTCCACAAGGTCTGATCTGGTTGGTTCTACTTTGTTCAGAAGCTATGCTAGTTAAGTGCTATGGTAACTGTGAAGCCTGTGCCACAGCTGTGGGATGGCAGGCTCTCTCCTCCCTCCTGAAGCCCATAGCCTGCCATTTCCAAGGCATCAACTAAACTTCAAAGTTTATTGGCTTTATTTCCCATGAATCCTTTGCTTTGTGTTGCACTAAACGTTAATGTTAATGCTCTGTTGCTATTCATAAATCCTTTAGGTATCCTTAGTCATTGCAAAGAATGTGGCCCCTGTGAGTTTTCTGACTGCATTATGACCCTTCTAAAGACAATCAGCCAGGCCCTCTCAATCTCTGCCTGCACTACTATGCCAAAGACAGTTTGGCATCTGTCTCTCAACCCCTGAAGTCACTTTGCATGAAAAACTTGTAGCTGAGTAAAACTAGTTTAGTCCCATTTCTGTGTAGAATAGAACTGGGCAGGCAGCTTCAAGTTATGTGATTGTTTTAACAGTTGCCTGGTTCATATACTTTGTAAAATACTGTCTCATTCCCTGAATCCCAAACTAACAAAACACAACATCATCTTGTCAGGAGCAATGGATCTTTAGAAGTTAATGTTATGTTTGCAAAGGGCCTTTTTAAGTATTGAGCAACACTTTTGCTTGGAAAGTGCTTTTGAAGGCAAGAAGAAAAAGCAGAGTTCCTGAAACATTTAAAGTTTGGCTTTCTGGAGGGTTTCTCCTTTGTTTGCTTGTTTTGTTGCCTAGAAACTGACCAACTCTGTCTGACTCCATGCAGACAGAGTGTTCTCTGGTAAAGGCTCTCTAATGGAGAAGGGCTGTTTAGTTGATACGAGCAGGAACATAAAGCATGCGCTAAGAGGCAATGCCCAAGTCCCTCTGTCAGCTGCCTTAGGCAGAGACCTTTCTGGTTCAGATTCAGCGTGAGCAGATAAACCTGTTGTTCATCTTTCACTTTTCCAGCTGTTTTAAATAGTGTGGATAGATGCTCTTGTACTTTAACCTCGATCTGTCCAGTGATTTTAACCAATCTTGGTAGCAAGACATGCACAGCATCTCTAGGCGTGGTGAACTTACCAACCTAGGTGGGTTGACACATAGCCTATGTCCCCTCCCCCACCATGATCTGTGGAACATCTGAATTTCAGCTATATGGGCTGGGTGGAATAGAGATAGGAACCACTGACAGCCAGAAAGACAGGGGATCAGCAAGATATTGGGGTGCCACTTTAAACCCCAAGGATCCATGAGCAGATTTCATATATATAATCTGTGATTATTCAGCAACAAGTGATGAAGTCACATGGCACAAATCCAGCCTTGAGCCTGCAGCTCACTGGATATTTATGTAGCATTGACTGCCCAAAACACTTCTGCTCGAGGGGATACTATTCATTTTCATTTTGTTCCTAGATGACTGGAATCAAATTACTGTGAACAATTACTGTACAGAATAGCAAAACACTTTTCCTTCTTTTATTATGAATAAGTTTTATCCTTGGCAGTTCAGCATTGTACACTTGGTACAGAATGAATAGCTCAAACCCACAAGATTTTTTTATTCATAATTGCATTAAAATAGTGCAGCTCTAATTTGTAGATCTTTATGCCTATTTTACATTTTCTCTTGTACAACTTTAAGGATTACAAATTGTTTGGAAAAAAAAAAAAGATACCAAACTACCAATCTATGTGCTTAGACCATTAGGCCAAAGTCTTAACTCAGTGCCTTAGATTTTCCTCATGATTAGAAATGGCCTGATTTCCAGAAACACTAAATGTTCTCAGTGATCTCAGTGGACTCTGACGAGCACTTCTAACATTGAAAGTCATGCTTTTTTTTAAACCTAAATATGGATTTATAAGCCTAATTATCAGAAGTTTAGATTTGAGAATTTGGCCTGGAAAACACTGTGGACTTAATTTTTTTATTCATTGATTTCTTCTTCATCATCTTCAAATGCTTCCTCTCCATCATTTGCTGTTGCTTCTTGATATTGCTGATACTCTGAAACCAGGTCATTCATGTTGCTTTCTGCTTCTCTGAATTCCATTTCATCCATTCCCTCTCCTGTGAACCAGTGGAGGAAAGCCTTTCTCCTGAACATGGCTGAAAACTGCTCCGAGATCCTTTTGAAGAGCTCTTGAATGGCAGTGCTGTTGCCAATGAATGTGGAAGCCATCTTAAGGCCACGGGGAGGTATGTCACACACTGCCACCTTGACGTTGTTTGGGATCCACTCCACAAAGTAACTGCTATTCTTGTTCTGGATGGCCAACATCTGCTCATCAACCTCCTTCATGGACATGGGACCACGGAAGACAGTGGCCACTGTCAGATATCGGCCGTGCCTTGGGTCACAGGCTGCCATCATATTTTTGGCATCAAACATCTGCTGGGTGAGCTCTGGAACACTGAGTGCTCGGTACTGTTGGCTGCCTCGGGCTGTCAAAGGAGCGAAGCCTGGCATGAAAAAGTGAAGGCGTGGGAAGGGGACCATGTTTACTGCCAGCTTCCGGAGGTCGGCGTTCAGCTGGCCTGGAAAACGCAGGGAGGTAGTTACCCCACTCATGGTAGCAGAAACCAAGTGGTTCAAATCACCGTAGGTCGGAGTGGTGAGCTTCAGAGTGCGGAAGCAAATGTCATACAAAGCTTCGTTGTCAATGCAGTAGGTTTCATCTGTGTTTTCAACCAGTTGGTGAACCGAAAGTGTAGCGTTATAGGGCTCCACCACTGTATCAGAAACCTTCGGAGAGGGCATGACACTAAAGGTATTCATTATCCTGTCTGGATATTCCTCTCGTATCTTGCTGATGAGTAGGGTTCCCATGCCAGACCCCGTCCCTCCTCCCAGGGAATGAGTGAGCTGAAATCCTTGCAAGCAATCACAGTGTTCACATTCTTTTCTTACTACATCAAGTACAGAGTCAACCAACTCTGCCCCTTCTGTGTAGTGTCCTTTAGCCCAGTTGTTTCCTGCACCAGTTTGTCCTAAAATAACATAAAACAGGGAAAGAAAATTTACAAAATTATTGGTACAGTTCGATATTTGCATGCTAAATGCATTCACATCTCTAACAAAAGCTGCTATAAATCTGTCAGGTAGGTAATTGCACTCTTCAGTTTTGCCTACAAATATCTCCAGAAATATCAACATAAACTTTTTATATAGTCTCCAGTAATTTTCATTTATGCCTTTGGGCATTTCTTTTTCCTTTTTTGGCACTTTACCTTCCATAAATGCAAAGATAGCCTTGACTTCCCATTTTGAAAGCTTTCACACTTCGAATCTTGATTATTCTGTAAACACAGGGTGACTTTAATGTTTAACTACTTTCTGTCCATAAGGACCATGATGCATACAAAGCTAAATCACAGATACATATTTCTAAATGAAGGTTCTTGGACTGTTCCCATGAGACACAGAGGCATCACTATCATTCAAGGATAAAGCTGGGCTTCAGAAATCCTATTTAACTTCGGCCTCTTGGGTTTTACTGGTTTTCCTATAAACCCAATGTTCCTCAGGATCTGCAAAGCAACTTGCAGAATTCAATTACTAATATTTCATAAACTCCCTTCCTCCCCAAGACTTTTGTTTTCCTTTGAAGTGCCACTCAGTTTATTAAGATGAACAGTCCAGACCATTTGCTATGTAACTATTTTGCTTCTGCCCAGATAAAGAGGATTAAATGGAGGATCATTTTTTAATACTCCTGTTCCTCACAGTAACTGCTACATACATACACATTTTGCCTCTGAACTCACTTAGTGGTACTCTTCTAAGTGGTATTCAGAAAGAGCAGTATTTTCAGAATTAAGTATAGAGCTGACAAATTCTGGGTTGTACTCCAAGACCTTCCCCTCCCTTCCTATTACCATGTCCCTTTTCAATTCCCAGTGCACTGTGTTGGTGCCAAATACATCAACCAGGGAAACTGCTGGCTGGGATATTTTTTAAATATGATGCACTTTATTTTCACTGCATAAATGCTTGGTTTCCTCATGATGTATTTGGTTAGTTAATGCATTGTTCTGTATGTTGCTATGTTTTTCTCTCTTTGAACCTAGTGAGCTCAGCACTTCCTGGCCAGCTGGGCAAAGCACAAAGTAATATCCTTCCAGAACTAAATATGTTTGTAACCATCTACAGTCTGTCTGCTTGAGCAGATCCCCTACTACAGATAGGGCAGCACACAGACAGGCAGACAGACATCACTCCAAGATGCAGAAGGATCCTATCAAAGCTAAATTCTGAGTTTAGGACTTCATTTTATAGATTGGCCCTGGTGTAAACATTGTGTTGTTCCTCTTTGGTGGGTGGCAAGATGAGAGAATGAGGAATACGAACACAGAACAAGGTAAGAGAAGAACAGCAATTACTCTCACAAACGTGAAAATTAAATTTTCACAAGGAAAAAAATCAGTAGAAACTGATTTTACTTGCTCTTTGTTTTGTCTGCAGATTAAGTTTGCAAAATTTAGGAGGCTACATGACTCATACAGAGCTGGACATGTCTTCTTTTGGGCCCTCCACTGCATTAGACTTCTTGTGAATCACAAGAACTCCTGGATGCCCACACAACTACTACCATACCACCTCTCTTTGTTGCACTAATACAACCTCTGCACTTGAACTGCTTTGTGGAAGTGCAGTATTGGCTGCCTACACCAAAACTAATGGCTTTCCTCCAGCCCACAACTATGGGCTACTCCTATGGCAACACTGCACTTTGTCTCCTAGTCAGCCACGTGCCCAGGGTCTCTGACATTTTCATTGGAGATTTCCTGCTGTTTACACCCACTAATCTTGTACTTCCAGACCCGCTGGCTCTATAGCACTGTAAGACCATTACCACCACACAGAACATATAAAATAAGCCCTGGAAGTTCCAGACTTCTTATCCATGACAATACAGTGCCGTCTGGAGGTGCCATGGCTCTGACAAAGCTGCCACACACCTAGAAATCCTGGTCATGATCCTGTGAAGCTCTACTGACTACTCTCCACTTATCCTAACTACCTACCCCTGAAAATCTTAGACAAACACACAAAAACAATCAGATTCCACCAGGACTAAATTAGGGTGGCAAATGAGCCTGTGTCCAGGGAACTGAGGACTTGGCAAATCTTCTGCCAATCCTAGAAGTCCTGTGTTGTACACAGCACACCTCTAGCATACTGCCTCTGCCTTTTCTCACTGTGCACTTACCAAGATCTAAAGTCTAAACAAAGCAATCCCACAACTTATCTGGAGGTGCTGAGAGTGCAGATCCTTCCATCACTGTTTCTTTTTCTCACACACTGCAGAGTTATCACACACGTACAGGTTGAGCTGCACATGTAGAGAAGCCATTTATCTAAGAGGCAATTTATTTTTTAAGCCCTAAAATGGCAACTGTTTCCTGAAGTTTTCTTTCATTTCTCTCCTCCCTTCACTATTTGAAACAGAAGACAAACCTGGTAAGAGAGCAGTAGATTGCAGACTAACACTCAGGAGCCTAGTGTGAACAGCCTTGCTGCAGAACTTGCCTTTGACTCCCTGACAGGCATTCTGTGGTTGCCTCCACCAGTTCAGACAACTTAAATTGGAGTTGTATCTATGTAGCCACACTGGTAAGGGTGTGCACAAGAGAATGACAAATGCAAAAATGTACAAATGAAAACTGGTTAACAAGAGCAAACACAGAATTCACAGCAGTTCTTGATGGATAGGGAGCTGTCACTAGCCCAGGAGACCTGCTGCTCTCATACAACAAAATCATTCCATCTGTGCCTCTTCACCATTTAGGCTGCTACCTTGTCAACATAAGCATTAAATTATAAGGATTGTTTTGTATCCATCTCAAATCTCCTGCTGGTCTGAGATAAAAGTCCTGTATCTGGAGTGTGTGACCATTTACCCAAAACACCTGCATGAAGTCCTGACTGACGGTCCATGGCTAGTTCCTGCGGAGACATGGGCACATGCAGGTATATACAAGCAGAGGTGAAAAACATCTCCACCAGGATAAGCCCTAAAAGCATGGGGTACAGCAAGTATAGGACTGCCAGCTTCTGCCACAAAAACCTTTGTGGACCCAGGCCAGATTTTTAAAAGAGAAAACAAAATGCTTTGTTGGCTTTTGACACAGAATTACTTCAGCGCTCAGCCATT